AGGTCCGAAAAGTTTCCAGACCCTGAGAAATTCGATGGCACCCGCACCAAGCTCCCCGGATTCACCACCCAACTTCGAATGAAACTTGAAGTCAACCACGATCGGTTCCGAAACGAGGCAGCAAAGGTTATTTATGCCGTCAGTCGCTTGGAAGGAAGGGCCCTTGACCAGGTCGTTCCACTTGTTAACGCTAACCCTGCCGCCCCCTTCTCCTCCGTCACTGCCTTCGTTGCCCACCTGGAAGCCTCGTTTGGAGACCCAGACCCCCGAGGTACCGCCCGTCGCCAACTCGTTGCCCTGAAGCAAGGCAAAGGGGACTTCGCCACCTATTACTCACAGTTCCTCCGTATCGTGGCATACCTGGACTACAACGAAGGAGCCAAGATCGATGCCCTGGCCGAAGGACTGTCGGAAGACCTGAAGGACGCCATGACATACCGGACAGACAGGCCTAACACCGTCGAGGCCTATGCCACCATGTTAATGACAATTGATAACCAGGTTCGGGGCCGCAAAGCTGAACAACGGGCCATCCGGAATACGATGGGACAATTCACCGCCCCCGCTGCTGTCGCACACCCATCTCATACCACCGGAGGCCTCGCCCCAATGGACCTCTCCGCTCTCCAAAGCCGTCCCACTCAACGCCCTGCCATAGAACAACGATACACTTTTGTCAATGGACAACGCAAAACCTCTGCCGCCGAAAAACAATGGCGAAGGGACAACAATCTCTGTATGTACTGCGCTAACCCCGGTCACGTCTTTGCCAACTGCCCCTCTGCCAATCGCCCGCGTGGTAACCAACCGGTTATGAGGGGCGCCCTCCTCGCACCCAGTCATACGGCCGTCGACCCCGCTGTTCCACCGGTCGCTAGTCCCGCCTCCTCTGAGTCGGGTTTTCAGTAGTCCCGAGCTTGATTAATGGCCCCTGCCTGGGACCTTCCAACGTTTCCCCTTTGTCTGCGTTTTCTATCTCTGGCTTCTCGGTATCGTCTGTGGAGGATAAATTGGATGGGGATCATTTTGTTGCTTCTTGTAAAATTATAAAGAATAAAATATCCATTCAAACTCACGCATTGATTGATACCGGTTGCTCCGGATTCGCATTCATTGATGAAACATTCGCGCGCCATAACAACTTCCCATTTCTCACCCTTAAATCACCCCGCACTCTTGAAGTCATTGACGGACGGCCCATATCTTCCGGATAAATTACCCACCTCTGCTACCTACCGCTATCAATTGACTCCCACCATGAAACTATCCCCTTCTTCGTTACCAAACTCGGCTCGTACCCACTCGTCCTCGGAATCCCCTGGCTCCAATTGCACGACGTCACATTACGGTTTAAGGACAACAGTATACTGTTCGACTCCGAACACTGCAAACGCAAGTGCAACTCTTCCGCGATACCCGTTCCCATTAGAGGGGTTGCACCACCGCCCGGTTTCCACTTCGTCAGTTCAGCTGCTCTTTGTCGCTTTGTCGAAGGGACAAACCCCAAATCTTTAGTACAACTATTGAGGAAATAGATCAAACAATGGGCGAGGCCCCTAAGGAAGACTGGAGAACCCGAGTCCCAACCCAGTATAAGAGGTTTCATGAAATGATGGACGAGAAATTCGCTAATGAGATGCCGCCTCGCCGCCCCTACGATCATAAGATACCGCTTCATCAGCAAAAAATGGGTTTCCCCAAGACGAATTCCGGCACCCAGATGCCCAAATTCGTCTTTTGCCCCCAAAACCTCGTCTTTTGGCTCTGGGATCTCGTCGTATGTCCCCCTATTTTTGGCCGCTCGTCATTCGACCACAAAACGTTGTCCATTTAGAGCTCCAATTACGAAACCGGTCGTGCGACCTCATTAGCTCGTCTTTTGAATCAATCTATCCTACGCTCGTCTTATGCCAAATGTCCCCGTCTTCACTACCCGTCAAAAGACGAAGATGGCTCAATTGGGAAATCCTCGTCATTTGACTCGGACATAATTCTGTCCAAAATCCAAGTCCAATAATCACCTCATCTAAAATACAAACTCTAATGACCCCCGGGCCCGTCTAATACCTTCCACCTAATATGTACAATACAATCTAGTGCGTCGAATATCCACTGTTTAACATGTCTAAGGACTCCCGCCTAAGTCCCGTTTGTCTTCCCCGTTCGTCATAATCCCCCCTGCCCAAAACCTATCGTCAGAAGTCCACCTGTCTAAAGTCTCTTGTCTGTGTTCATGTCGTCAGTATCATTATAAAAAACTCAGTCCAACGTCCCGTCTTACTTCAGTAAATTGATCCGTATGTCGATAGATCGATCGTACTATTGATAAACCATCTATTGTTCGTAGATGACGTCGTCTCAGGCACCAAATGAGCGGCGCCCAAAATGCTTTTTATGTTTACTACCCATATATCGTCAGGAGAGCTTGAGCAGCGTGATACTCTTATTAGCCCGTGGTCGACGTTGGGGTTTCCATTGAAGTCCGGCTTCAATGGTTGTATCGCAGCCAGAAGTCTGGCCCTCCTTCGTCTTGGGTCCCTGAGCTTAAAGACCGCAAGCAGCCTTGCTGGGCATAAACCCTGCAAAGCCTCCAGGTCAGCTGGCTTTTGACGAAACCAGACCCAGTCGTTGCGCGCGTTTCCCCCTCTGTAACCCGACGTTCCCGTCGTACGAAGTGTGTGAATTGTACTCTCGTCGCCCTCGCCGTGCAAAAGGACGGGTACGTTGAGCTGTTTGAATGTGTTTACCCGCCAGCTATCGATGTCTTCGGGCATATCTTCGTATCCAAGACATAGCTCCCTCCTGAAATACCGCCGGATGTAATACCCCAGTCTCTTTGTAGCACCTGCGATATCTACACTACTGACATTTGTTAATTTGACCGGGCATTTGACCTACCTCTTCTCCACCCTGGTGTCGCTTGGTAAATAGACCAATGGCGCGATATCCTGCTCTTGAAACGCCGGGTCGTCCTGAGGGTCTCTAAGATCCCATCTTGCAGCTTGCATCCTCCTCCTCAGACGTGGCTCTAAGACGTCGAGATTGCCGACAAGCTCAGTGGTCGAAAAACCGTCCCGGGCAATTTGTAGAAGATTTAATTCGCAAATGGAAAACGTATAATCACGGTTAAACGTCCGAAGTATCTGCATTGCGGGATCGACGCGATTGCTCCGACGATACGGTATTTTGATCTGATCCCTGTGGGCTGACTCGCAAGACTCTGTCGAATAGTCCGGAATATTGCCGTATTGACGAATGTGCTCTGCGAAATGGCCCATGAGGTGTATCTTGGGGAAGTTGAAGTGGGATTCTGCTCGCAAGATCTCGTCGGTTTTCGCCTGGAGATTTAGCCTTTGGTCTGCGATAACCCTTCGTCTTTGGCCTAAAGAGTCGTTTAGGCCTGCTAGCTCGACGTCGTATTCCCCGCGCAATTCCCTCCGTCGTTCCGCCACAAGTCTGTCAGTCTCTCTAGTCGCGCGATATTTCCTGAAGATATCCTTCGTCCTATGGAAAGCCTTTAGGTAATTATCCAACATGTCTATCGTCAGCTTGTTATGAGAACGATGCTGGGTGACTAGTGCCCAGTCGACCAATGCCCGGACGCATTGAAAGGCTTTCTTGAATGGCTCTGCCTGGGCAGATGACGGATTCCTGAGGGCAGACGCCAGGGCTGGTAAGATTATTTTCTGAAAATTACGCATCTCCTTCCCTTGCCATTGACTGACCGCTTGATAAGGCTTCGTCGGTGGGGTAAATCCAGGGTAAGGTGGCATGCTCGTCCATATGGCGTTGAATTCATCCAAACAACCATGTTCCTTCAGGAAGTCTTCCAGCCACTCTATAAGATGTTTCAGGATTCCCAAGTATACCACGTGCAGCATGTCTGGCTTATGGAGGTCGTAGGCTTGGACGAAGGGGAGATTCCAGAAAGGGTTGTACAGAGGTCGTAAACCACGAGAATTGAACCACTTGGTCAGCGTCTTCAGCTCCCGCCTTTCGTCTCTCGTCGGATTCTCCAGTACCTTCAGCGCCCTGTACTGACGATACATTCTCTTGTATTCGCCCTGATCACGAGGGTAGGTCTTGAGCGGTTCGGCTTCGTATTCGCCCAGTCTATTGACGGGTATCTCGCACTTGGGGCACAAGTTGAACTTGGTATTCAGAATATTGCAGCTCTCCATGTGGTCCGAAAGCCATGCCGTCAGAATCGGCCAACAACGTCTCTCGTACCCGTCTGAACAGCCCATTAAGACGCCGAGCCTTTGGTCAAAGTGCAGCAGAGGCTCCAGTATAACTAACATGACTCTCCTCAGCGTCTCCGCCGTCCAGGACCGGAGTCTCCCCTTTGACGTCGCGTCGCCAATTATCTTAGAAGGTATTGGCAATAGTGCGAGTAGCAAATGCGCCTTGGTCGACGGCTTGGATCGTACTTTTCCCGGTATATTGCCTATCGTCATATATATCGGCCAGGTCTTCTTGTCTCCGGAGAAGTTTGTCAGATGCGTGACGTCGGAGCTGCAGATAATCGGGACAATCGTGGCCCCGGTAGGAAGTCTTTCCTGCATATTCCACCACCAGTCCGCTGTATGCATCTCGGAATAGAGTTGATATCCGTCCGCGTCGTAAACCCTCTCCGGCCGATAAACCATGCTCGACTTGTAGCAATGTTGACCCAAGAGATACCTCGCGCATTCGACCGGATTCCTGTAATATAAGTCGGTCGTTCTTCCAAAGCCGTCCCCGACGGTCCCGTATTGAAAGTTAGGTGGGGAGCCCGTCATTTTGTCGAGCTGGTTCTGGAAAGTATAAGCGGACTGAAAGGAACGCTCGTTCTTTTTCGTCTTGTGCAACCCCTCATTGAAGTAGGCGTCAATTGATGTAGAGGTCAGCTTGTGCTCGATAAAGAAACGAGCCAATCTCCATTCCGCCGCGTCTTTGAACGGTGCCCAGGGCTTCCAATTCTCTTCCATATAGTCCCGATAGCCCTGGACCCGACCTAGTCATTGTCCACTGTTGGGTAGGTATGCTGTGGCCCTTTGATTATCGTCAGCTTGCTCTGAGATCGGGGGGGCGATCGCCGCAGGGCCATCGTCGTCGGAGTCAGGGTCAAAGTCGGATTCCGCCTCAGAGTCGGCTTCTGAGTCTGTAGAATCGTCCGAGCCATCAATTACCAGAGTAAGCGTACCAGGCCCGGCGTCTGGCAGCGTAGTTTCGTCTTCTAAACGCTCGTCCTCAGGCGCATCGTCACCGCCATGATGCCGGTGAATATGTCTTGCAAGATGTCCCGCGCGATGGTAATACCTTGGGCACAGGGGGCAAGGTGTGGATGACATCCGCTTTCTTGATCAGTCGTGATGGTCTTTTGGCTTGTCGTGCGCGTCTTTTGCTTCGTCGTATGCCTCATTCTCGCGTTCACTGGCACTGGTATCGAGTGGGTTTATACTGCTGGAATTCTGACTGAGCAAAATGACTACTGTAGCACAGACCGACGTTCGTTTCCCCGGGGTCGTCAGCCGCGAGCCAAGCTTTGCCAAGCACATGCGACCTGACATCATTCATCACAACGTCGTCTGACCTCACCACCAACAGTTGCAAACCTCCGTCAAAGCACTCGTGTTGGTTCATTCATTAACCTAATCCGGCGCCGATGAGCCTTTGTTTGTCGTCCCCTGCCTTGTGTATATGGTTAGGCGTTACGAGTTGCCGATTCCAGCACACCCTCACGATGGTAATTCGCACAGTCTTTGTTCTATATAAGGGTCTAAATACCCCGTTGTTTCCCCGGAGTCTATCCTCCTGAAGGCATCCACCAACGGTCAACCGTCTTTTGACCACCTTCCTAACGCAACTGACTACAATGGTGGGAACTCGGTCGGGTAAGAATAAGTCGGCATTAGCCCAAGCGGGAAGGTCATCTCCGAAGAAAAGAATGGAATGGGCCGATAAGGAGGGCCCCTGGGTTTTGTCGATTAGCAGAGCAGCGTGCATAGCAGAGGTAAGATTTCTATCAAGTCCTATATCTCTCGCCCTCTGACGCCCGCCAGGGGTATGCGAAAAAGAGCAAATTTACTGGCGCCGAAGTTAAGTCCTTGCTCGGCATTACGCCGGCCCAATGGAGGAACATGTTCGAAGCCGTGCACGACTACTTTGTCGAAAATGCGATTGCCAGCAGAACTATGACAACAGACGAGCAATGGGACGAGGCCGTGAGACTCCTGCTCAGTTATCCGCCCTGGAATAAATTCAGACGCCTGCTTCAACAGCCGGAGGAAGATTGCACCTTACAAGGGGCCTTGATCAAAGTCTGTGTGAGCAGTACACTCCAAGATCTTGCCAAACGTAAGTCTGCTGAGGATAGAGAGAAGTTCTCTGAGGCACTCAAAGAGAAGGAGCGTGCGGCGAAGTCAGCGAAGGCGAAAGCAGCGAAGAAGAAGGAGACCAAGGGGAAGGCGACCGACACAAAAGGCAAGGGCAAGCAGCGCGAGACGGCGCCAACTCGCAGTTCGACAAAGAGGAGCAAGCAGGCCCAGGTGCCTCTGCCCGACGACGAGGACGAGGTCTACCCTGACATTGACGAATTTGCCTCGTCGGAAGACGAAGCGGAGAAGCCGAGGGACAAGGCAGACGTCGGAGATGAGACGGACGACGAAGAGACACCCGAGGAAGCCGACGAGCCCTTCTCGGCGAAGACCCGGAAGGTCGAAAGGGCACCATATCTTACTGATCGGCCTATCGGCATTTCGCATTGTTTCCCCTCCAAATACCGCTTTGAGCGACTCGGAGGGGCGAAGTTGGGACTACGTCTGAAGCCTTGGGAAATGCCTAATTGGACTCCAAGAACCTTTGGTGGGCATCCCTACCTGACGTTTAGTTCACTTCCCGGTCCGTATCTATCGGAGGTCGTGAGGATGGTCAGGGGGGTACAACTAGACCCTGAAACCCGCGGCGGTGCTTCTGACTTGCCACACCCCGCGATACGCCATTTGGTCGGGTCTCTTGTCCTCGACGAGGAGTTTTTCAAGACCGCGTCGGGTCAATATCGTGTTTACCGGCCGTTACCTGAACAGGTCATCTTCCTACAGTCGGACAAAGATGTCAGAGTATGGCTCAATGCTTGTAAAGTTGCACCGCGACTGAGACTATTGGTGGTTTATAATGAGCGCGATAAAAACGCCAGGCAGACTCCACCGCCGCTGTCATTCCCCTACTTTCACGGTGACTGGGAGGTGCTGATGGACAATCAGTTGCGGATTGACCGGAGAGCCTCGGGCATCAAGGCCGAGGAGACAGGAACTCGTTGGGGGAAACCGACGAAGAGGAAGAGAAGTGAGATTGTGGAGGTGAGTGATGACGACGACGACGACGACGCTGACGACGACGCCGACGACGACGCCGACGACGACAACGAAGGCGAGGGTGAAGGTGGAGGGTCGAGTTCCCGTAAAAAGCCCAGAGGAGAGAACGCCGGAGAGGGCAGCTCGAGCAAGGCGGGCCCGAAAGGTAAAGCAGGGGGCAGCTCGAGCAAGGCGGGCCCGAAAGGCAAGGCAGGGGGTAGCTCGAGCAAGGCGGCCCAGAAAGACGACGATGATGGCGACGACGATGACGAAGAGCGCGAGGAGGACGATGACGTCGACGACGAGGAAGAAGAAGAGGAGGAGGACGAGGAAGAAGAGGAGGAAGAAGAGGAGGAGGAGGCCCCAAGGAGAAAGAAGACAAAGACACCCGGGCTCAAGACGCCGGCCAAGACGCCGCCATCAAAGACACCCGGGCCCAAGACGCCGGCCAAGACGCCGCCATCAAAGACACCCGGCCCGAAGACCCCGGCCAAAACACCTGCTCAGACTACTGCTGCCGAGCGAGGAGGGAAAAGGTCGAGAGCGTAAGTTGGACTAAATTCCGTACCAGTAGTATAGTTTCTCCTAATGCGGCTAATGCGGTCAATACGTTAGACACCATCTGTTCGATGAGCCTGCTGAGAGCCCGCCCTATGAGAGTGAGCAGGAGGAAGAGCAAGGGGACTTAATACCAGAGTACGAAAGCCGGGCCACTGGTTCACAAGCTGACAGCGCTCCGGAGTCTGAAAGAACTACGCAAGATGAGATGCCCGGCGAAGAGCCTGCCGGGGAAGGTAGTTACGTTGATGGTGGCCCTGATGGGGGTATTACTCCCGGCGGGCGCGGGGACGAGTCAATCGATATGGAAGTGGGTTACCTTACCGATGCATCGACCAGTTCGATTGAAGTGGCTAAGCTCCAAACAATTCCCCGTCTTCCCCAGTCCCCCCACCCCCAAATCTCCCCTCCCCCCACTATCATCAACCTCCCCGACATCCCTGCGAAGGGCTGGACTTCCGTCTCTCGTCCTGCGACTCCAAAGAAACTTCGTTTCGAGTAGCACTGGTTGATAGTAGGTTGCACGCTCCAGTCACCTGCTCGTGAGTTTTCTGACCCTAGTCGCAACCTTTAGCTTTTGACGGTTGTGGTTTTCGTCTTTTTGTCGGCCTATCTTTTATGGCGTTATTTTTTAGCCTCTTTGGCGGTTATTGCGATATGTTTGGTCTATCTGTTTTGGGTGGTTTGACAGTTGTCCTGGTCATCTTTTGGGATTAGTCTTATCTATTTTGGTCTTTTGAGGTTAGTCTTATCTTTATTGGGTCTTTTGGGGGTTAGTCTTATCTATTTTGGGTCTTTTGGGGTTAGTCTCATCTTTATTGGGTCTTTTGGGGGTTAGTCTTATCTCTTTCGGGTTATTTGACGGGGGTCCTTTTGGTTTAGGGTTAGTGATATCTGTTAGGGTCTTTTGGCGCAGCATGTGAGGTGAGTTAGGTCTTTCGATGCTGGTTGGGGTCTTTATAGATTCGTCTGATCATTAGTAGTATACTGTTATTAGGAGCGTCACTCTAACGGGGACTATGGGCGTAGGAACTATGAAGCCAAGGAATACAACCGAGGCGAAGACGTAGACGTAGGAGGTTCGTGGACTATGGACTATGGGGCCGAAGGGTACACCTAAGGCAAGAACGGGGACTGTGGACTATGGACTATGGATGGTTGTACCTGGTCTAGTATACCGGGCAAACCCTATGACGTAGCGCGAACTAAATAGTATTCGTAACTGTGAAGTACAGAGGTTGCATAAAGAGAAAAGGAAAAGAAAGAGAAACAAGAAATCACGAGACAACGCCCCCCTTATATATCCATACCCTATCCCAATGCTGACTCATACTCTCGCATAACAGAAACAGAAAGAACATAATAGAAACCCGCTTCGCTAAACCCAACCACACTGCATAACCCTTCCTCTTCGTACCCTAACACCTCGCATAACCAAACCACATGGCTGCCGTTACAGACCACTCCCCCCTCTACGGCCTACCTCCTGGTAGGCTTAGGCTTCCGTGGATATCGTTTGTGAAATCGTTTGATAATATCGGGCGAATGTTCGACATCCGACAATGGCTGCCACGAAGCTTCGTCATAACCGTCATACTTAACCAAGTATTCAAATCTTCCCCGACGATCCCTGGAATCCAAAATATCCTCGACTTCCCACTCCTCCTGTCCTTCAACTTCGACCGGCGGTGGTGGTAACTGTTGTTGTCCTGGTAAAGGATCGTTTGCTGCAGACGACAATAAAGAGACATGGAATACGGGATGAACTTTCATGGAACGAGGGAGTTCCAACTCATAGGCATAAGGACTGACAACTCGTTTGATCGCATAGGGTCCGAGGCGTTTCCAATCGAGTTTCTTGGATGGTCGTTTCGTAAGGACATGACGTGTCGACAAGAAAACTTTGTCTCCTACCCGATAGTGGGGGGCTGGAGTCCGATTTACATTGGCTGATTCCTCTTGTATTCGTTGCGCTCGAAACATCTCATCCTTTAAGAAACCTAATATCTCCTTCATTTCTTGTACAATACCATTAGCTTGATCCTCCGCTGTTGTCCGTCCATGTTCTAGGGGACCAAAAGTCATTCTTGGATTTCTTCCCGAATTGGCATAGAAAGGAGAGATTTTGGTTGTTTCCGAAGCATGATTGTTTGTTGCAAATTCGGCCATTGGTAGCCATCGAGCCCAATCATCCTGTTGATAGGAAACATAACTCCGAAGGTATTGTTCCATGATAGCATTGATCCGTTCCGTCTGTCCATCCGTCTGAGGATGAAATGCGGTAGAGAACTTTGGTGATATTTTTAGACGATCGCAAAGTGACCTCCAGAATTCTGCAACAAACTGAGTCCCTCGATCGGATACAGTGGTATTAGGTAATCCATGTAACTTCCAAACATTGTCGATATACAGCCTCGCTACTTCTCTTGCATCCGCCTCCTTAGTCGTTGGTATCAGATGTCGCATTTTGGTCAGCCTATCTACCACAACTAGGATTGCATTGTACCCATTGCTTTCAGGAAGATCGGTAACAAAATCCATTGACACATCCGTCCATGGTCCCTCTGGTATTGGCATGGGGCGCAGTACTCCATAGGGTGCATTACGTGGTGCCTTGCTACGGGCACACACATTGCAATTTCGAACATACTGATCGACATACTTTCGCATTTGTGGCCAGTAATACTCTCGATTCAGGAGTTCCAAAGTCTTTGCTCTGCCTGGATGTCCTGCCGATGGTTTGTCATGGTGCTCTTGTAGAAGTCTTAGTCGAAGGTCATTGTCATCCGGTACATAGAGTGCGCCACGGTAAAGTAGCCGACCGTTGTTATCTTCCGTACATTCGGCAAGCGAGATCTTATTCGAGTGACGGACGCCATTTCGAAGCATCGCGAGTACTTTATTCGGGAAACTGTCAACTTGGTAAGCATTTAAAAACAACTCTTCTACAGTGGACATTCCTTCAGCGGATTCATTTGAAAAAGAACCCGCAAACAAACTTAGCTTTAAATCCAAATTTTTTCGCTTCAAAACCACCTGGCTTTGATGCGTCAACCGTTCATCCCCCTCCTTAGGTAGGTCACCCGACCTCCTAGTCAATGCATCCGGCTTTGCCCCTTGTTTCCCTGGTCTAAATTGAATGACGAAATCGAAACGTGAAAGAAATTCCGACCAACGGGCTTGTCGACGGTTTAATAACTTTGTTGACATAAAATATTCAAGGTTCCGATGGTCGCTAAGAACTTCAATTGGGAATTGTGCTCCCTCTAAATGATGTCGCCATTCCTCAAAACATCGTACGATCGCCAGGAGTTCTTTGTCATAGATCTCATAGTTACATTCCGCAGGGGAATGTTTCTTAGAGAAGAAAGCAACTGGATGTAGAATTCCTTCGTCGTCACGTTGGGACAGAATTCCAGCAGAAACATAGTCGGATGCATCGGTTTCTACTACGATTTTCCGATTCGGATCAAAGTGCGCTAGTATGGGTGCCGTTGTGAACATCTTTTTCAATGTCTGGAATGCTTCCTCCCTTTCATCCGTCCATTCGAACTTAACATTTTTCTTCGTCAAAGCCGTAAGTGGGGCAACAATCTTTGAGTATCCTAGGATAAACCGTCGATAGAAATTAGCGAATCCCAAAAATACCTGAACATCATGAAGGTTCTGCGGTATAGACCACTCTAACACGTCGACGATCTTTTTCGGATCCATCCTATTCCCATCTGGGGTGAGAATAAGGCCGAGATACTTCGTTTCCTGAACCATAAACTCGCATTTCTCGGGTTTAAGGTGAACATGATTCTCATCAAGTACCTTTAGAACCTTCCGAATATGGTCTTTGTGCTCCGACAGAGTTTCCGAATAGATCAGGATATCATCCAGATATGCCGTTACAAATTGATCGAGGTAAGGACGTAGGATATCATTGATCCAATGTTGGAATGTGGCAGGGGCATTCGCTAATCCAAACGGCATTACAGTATACTCGAAATGTCCATAACGAGTCCTGAACGCCGTCTTCCATTCGTCTCCCTCGGCTACCCTGATTTGGTTATATCCCCAACGTAGATCCAGCTTGGTATAGTATTGCGCTTTTGACAACTTAGCCAGGGTTTCCTTTAACAATGGTAACGGATATCGATTTTTGACCGTGATTGCATTGAGACCTCGATAATCCACGCAGAGCCGGAGAGTCCCATCACTTTTCTTTACGAACAGTATGGGTGCTCCCGCTGGCGACTCACTGGCCCGAATAAATCCCTTAGGTAGGTTTTCGTCAAGGTATTCCCGTAGTGCTTTTAGTTCGGTTTGGGAGAGGCCATATATCGGTCCATAGGGAGGTCGTTTACCTTCCTTCAATACTATCTCAATATCATGGGATGGTCGATGGGGCGGCAGGACAGAAGCGTCATATTCTTGGAACATGTGGAGACGATGGTGGAACTCCTTTGGTACTAGTTGCTTGACGTCGACGGTGGATTTCTCAACTGCTGCAACGACAACAGTATGATGTTCCGGTAGAGGGATCGATATTCCATGGGCAGTGACTGTCGTCCCACTGAGTGAACAGCGTTGACAACAGCTTCGAGAGTCAAAAACAAGTAAATTTTCCTTCGGCCGAATCGTAACATCGTGACGTCGCATCCAAGGTATTCCCATCACAATTGGATAGTGTCCCAGCTTCGTTACAAAACATGATGCAGTCTCCCGATGACCATGGATATCCAGCGATACATTGACAATATGGGTGATCTTTCCTGATTGAATAGGCCTCCCATCCATAACATCTACCTGACGAGGTACTTTAAGGTGGGTCATTGTGAGATTATTGTGGCGTACAAAAGATTCGTCAATAAAAGCATATCCAGAGGCTCCGGTATCAATAAGGGCATAGGTGGGTATAAAAGAGTCAGGATTCTGAGAAACCGAACAGGTAACGACAAGAGGGTCTTCGGACATCTTGTCCTCAGACATGGTGACGGCAGAGACAGCGGGGACAACAGGAACAATAGGGACAGGTGGCGGGGCTAGCCCCTTTGGTTTGCCATTTTTTACCAAAGGGGCTGACCTTTTAACGCTGGCTTTGGGGACACATTTTCAATTGGCTTTTCTCGCCAATTGCTGATGGTACGGGGATATTTGGAATGGGGGGTGAGGTAGCGAGACTTGGAAACATGGCGAGATTGGGTTTTAACTTTAGCGGCAGAGACGGAGACACGGGAGCGAAGATCGGCAATGGTGGCATTGGCTTGAACTTCCCAGGCTTTTGCAACAGAAGTGATGTGAAGAATCTCATCTTCAACATCAGCGAGGTTTTCATCGGCAATGGCGAGACTTTCCTGGTGTAGTGCCAGACGGAACCGAAGCTCTTCTTCTTCAGCTTGCGATTCTTCCAGCTCAATCTTTAAAGCAACAATAACCTCGTCGCGACCTCGGATGATCTCGGTAGAATCTTCCTGGTTATCGCACAAGGTTTGCCAAAAATCTGCAGCCTTTTCG